CACTAAAGTGTATGTAAACTCAAAGAAATAAAAGATAAATTTGACTGAACTGTGGGTAGGTTTAGATGAAATATTACAGAATTGTTAGGTAAATTTTCTAAACAAAGTCTTCCTGTGACTACTTGGTTTTTCCCTTGTAAAGTGTGGTTTAAAATGGAGCAATTACGCTACTTTTATAAAAAGTATCTTTATGGAGAACTGTTCTATCATTTCTGGCTATTTAATGACACATAAATGCCATCTGTAGGCGAAAAAGTGTAAATTTCATTAGAAAACTACCACATTACCCTTGGAGCAGGCACCGGCAGCTTCTCTTCGTGGCAGTACAAATACATATATACATACATCAAAAGTTGCCCGCAGAAGGTTTGCATCGCAGCCGTACACTGTATGACATACCACTAACTTTTATAATGAGTTATACCAGAAAGGTTAACAACCAACAAGAAATCATAACTTGACAAGCTGAGCTCGAAGGGACTTAACTGTATTTTTTTTTGATGTTTTCACTTTTTGATGGATTTTAATGTTGCCAAATTCTGTTAATTATTACTTAGTGGATGCTTTAACAAAAGCTTTGACCTAGAAAAATAAACACCTTTCTATTCAGGCAACTAGTATATACCTCCGGTAAAAAAAGTTCGTATAAAGAAATCTGATCAGGTGGAGTGCTAACTCAATCAACGAGATGTTTTCACTCTTCGTTCTCGCTAGTTCCTCAACGATTGCATCAGGTATTCACTGATTTCCAGACAATTCTCACGTCTGTGATTCTAATAGCAAAACTTTCTGCAGTTAAGTATGGAGCGGTATTGTCCTCTGGTTTCTATCACTAACCATTAACGTGTTTGGAAGAATGAAAGGAGCACTATGCTTTTTCTCGACTCCTTGACCTCTATTTGCTTTCTAATCAGCTTTTTAAGATCTACACAGACCCATCACAAAAGAAAGACCATTTAAAACAGTCCCTAAAGTGTTTTCTGCGCTCCATTTACCGTAGACTAGAAGATGTCTAGACGAAGAGAGGCGAAAAGGCTATTGTCCATACATTAGTACTTGACAACCCATAGGTTGGCTTACGGATGCATCTTCTCAGACACTGTGTGAAAATGACTCAAAAAAATAATGGTATATGGGCGCTTATTCGGAAGTTGATCAGAGTCTATTCCAGTATTAAGTTGATTATACCTATTTCAACACCAGCATTTACTATCAAGGCAGCCAGAGGTTTCGTTCACTACAAATAAGTTGTGGATACTATCGTAAATCTAAAAATGAAATTTTCTGACTGAGAGAGCAGTGAAATATATTTTGTACTTCCCTATTGCTATTTCTTTACTGGCTAGATTTCTAGACTTTTGGCATGCCGGAAAGCTTATGCAATACGTGCAATGCGTTTCTCACTTGAATGAATAGAGCTCTGATCAGGGCTTTTGCCAACGAAGGTATTGGAAAAATCTTGTGTAAAGAGCGTTATATCACCACAAGAATGTCGACATTCTTAGTGATGTCATCGAGTGCATCTTTATCGAAGAACAGATTGAATGTAAAAAATGAACGAGAAACATCACTCAGTTAATCAGATTAGTTTCAGGTTTGTTGCTGGATAGTTTCGCTTTTCCTCGTACTATGTAAATGCTCGTGGTGCATAGCTAAAGGCAGACATTCATTGCTTATGAAACCTGCCAATTTATTGACTTGTGTCCTCTGCTGAGGAAATTAATCCATAAAAAAATTCTTATCAACACCTCATTGAATAATCCTTTACGCTGTCTACTGCACGTCTTTGAAGCGCCTCAAATGTAGATATGACTACTATACAGCCACTACTACGTATAAATCCAGCAATGAAGTGCATTTACAACGCTATAAGGTGTACATGTGAGCACGAAATTAACACTAACCATCTACAAGGCGAAATATGATTGAATGTGGTGGTTGAACTATTGAATGTAAAAAATGAACACGATTTATTGATGATTGAATAATCTAACTAGAGAGTAAGAGTGTAAAAGTGGGAGACTTGGAAACAAATCCTTCGCGTTCACATTGAGAGATTAACGGTATCAAAAAATTACTATAAGAGATGGTAATTGAGAAATCCGAGGTTTGAAAGTGCACATAGTTTTAATCGGAATAGGCGTATTATACTGTTCGCATGCAAAGGGTGAAAGGGAAAGCTGAAAAAATGCTAAAAGTGCTAATGATTACTAAATTACTAAAAGCTGACAGCCGGCTAGACCTGACTGTCACATACGTGGGAGGTAGACGTGACAGCTGGCTGTCGACGCGAAGTCGAGCGGCGGAATTCGACGAGCTCTCGGACGAGTTATCACGTTTTAAAGTCGTCGGTAAAACAGCAATTACTTATGCACCGCTGCTGGTTTTAACGTTATAACTCGGGTTAGAGGCGACGCCGCGTCGGCGGACTTGCACCGTTCGTCTATACATTACGTCGGCTATCCGATGGTATCAAAATCTCGATAATGATTTTTTGAGATTTTCTCGATGAAATACTGTAGGGCGCCATTAATTTAGGGCGATTACTACATTAATTATTAATTAATTATTAATTAATCATTAATTATAGGGCGACTACTAAAGTGCTAATGATGACTAATGCAAAGATGATTACTAAAAGTTAAAATAAAATTGTGTTTCACACCTGAGCACTTTTGGATGAGCAAATTTTTTCCCTTAGACATTTACAAACCACTCGATGGCGATGGTTCAAGTCTCGACAATTCATGTAATAGCAGGCTTTTAGAATAAATTTTCAATGAGCTGTAGCAATCAAAAGAAGACTGGGTTTTGCAAATAGCGCGGTGTGTTGCGAGATCCCATCCAAATAGCGGAGCCAAGAGTGGGCGCCGAGTTCGAAGTTCAATATTTATTTGACTACGCAGCACATTCAGAAGTCTTCCTCGTCAATCAGGTATATCACTGGATTTTCCGAGATTTGAGCTGTCGAAAGATTAGTCATTGTCTCAAGAAAAGTGTTGTCCAGCGGAAAATACTTGAGTGTGGAATGAAATTTTGTTTTTACTAGCGGTATATTTTGCTTTTTTCATCGGGTGTGCTATGGTATAGTGAAAGCTAAATGTTTTGACCTTACCACCTCGTTATTTAACGGTGTTTTGTTGTTCAGTCACTTCCACCGCGATCTATTCCTATTAAGAGGAATAGGCGACGAACTTTTCACACGCGATATAAGATGGAAGGCTAGCATACACTGTGGAATTGAATTGATCTTGAGAATGTCTCAAATTTGTCGATTCTAATGTTCCCTACACACGCTCAGGTAACAGCCATGCGCCGTGCTATCGGCAATCCATCACTCTGAGAGAACGCCACGGGATTGATACATATACGTCGAGCGTAAAAGTTTGACGATTCCTCTGTATAGCTGTAAAGGAACTAACTGTACGATAAGGTACCTCGCAATCGACAAATCTATAGGCTGAAACACGTTTCTCAATTTGCATAGGTTTCCATAGTAGACCTCAATGTAGGCTCAGAATACATTGTCATTATACTGTTTTTCAACAATGTCTCAATACAGCCCATTAGAATGTTTATTTCTACTGTTACGGCGCACTATGATGGCCATTTTGCCAAAACGTCGAAAATAAATGAAAAATACGTTTTCTTGAATATGGAGGTAGGTAGAGGAAAAGTACTTAACCTTTTCTCCATCGTTTTATAAGTCAAAGCTTCCAATTTCATTCCATTATATATTGCCTGAGAAACACGCCAATGATGCCTAAGCCTAATCTTAGGCATAGAAGCGCAAACCGTGGTCCTCTATGCCAATCTTCCAGCTTTTCATGAAAATCTAAAAAATCAAAGCCAGCTTGAGAATTTAAAAAATTTATGATTAAAAGTAACTACCACCGTTGAAAGACCACCGATAAACCTTGAACGAGCAAGAAATGCGCTCTGAATGCGAAACACGATCTTACTCTTGAACCTGCTACAGTGCTTCAAGAAGGCTTTTTTTCTAAACACTTATGGTATCAAATTTGTTAAGTTGTAGACTGTTGAATGATATATATTCCGGTAAGCAGAAATTACTCTGCTGTCAAAGGCTTACGAAATGAAATAAGATGTAGAAATTGGACGCAGAGAAGTTAATTGACAACAAGAAATCATTATTTGATAAATTGGAATTGAAAAGACTTATCAACAGGTTCTTAGATTAAAATCCATCAGTTTTCAGTAAATTGATAAACTCTGTTTGATCACTGTTTAATAAGCAATTCATCAAAAACTTTGATTTGAGGAAGTGAAGACAATCCAAATCAGGCAGGTGGCAACTGCTTTTGATAAGAGAGGCGCAAATAAAAAGACTTGATCAGTAGAGTACTAACCTAGTCAGCAATATGTTTCCCTCTATTAGTACTCTCTTCCTTCTGGCTACATCCTTAGCGATAGTGTATAAGGTACACACCATTTCCCATGAAATATAAAATTTATGCTTCTGAATAGCAAGACTTTACTCCAACTCAATATAAAGCAGCAACCTCCATAGTCTTTAGGATCGCAAGAATCGTTGTTAAAATTAAGCGAGTGGAGTTACACTTTTTTGGGGGTTCTTCCTCTGAATTGTTCTTCTAAGAGAGGTTCCCATTGTCAGTTCACACCCACGGTAAAAGGGCAATTCGTTCAACGCGTTTAGAAAATTCTTTTTCGCCCACTTTACTCTAGACTCTAATATAATTTTTTCGGTAAAGAAAGACATACGGTTCGGCCTTATATGGATGCTTGTCTGCGTAGAATAACGAACAAATGTACTTTGAAGAAGAAAATAACGATGTGGCTCGTCTAAATTCTTTCTATTTTGACTGCCACTTGCAGTGGTATGATGTTATAGTATACCCAATATGTGGAGTGCTGTGCAAAAACGTTTGCGTCAGCCGGGATTCGAACCCAGACCGACGATGGTTGGCTGTTGGCAGACAACGCGTTATAGCGTATATAAGAGTGCTGTGCAAAAACGCGCGTCGGTAGTGCAACGGTTAGCATACGCTCCCGGTAAGAGTGAGATATGGGTTCGAACCCGGCTGACGCAAACGCTTTTGCTCAGCACTCCACATATTGGATGTGGCTTCTGTTGGAGAAACTAATCATATATGGTTACTGACGCAGAAGTTTGTTGATAGTCTTTCGTTCTGACATGCTGAATGGATACCTATTTTGTTCCTGAGATTAAATACGAACGCAGCGATCTGCTTAGTGTGTTATCAATCAAATTTGATTGACTCTATGATCAATCTACAGCTAACATTTTGCGAATTTAGGACAATGATGCAGAATAAAACCAAAGTGAAACGGTTCGACGTTGTTTCAAATCGTAGCAGCATTCTGGTAATACGTTCCACATAGAAATGGATAGAACTCTCAACAGTGGTTTTGGAAGTAGCGTTCCTGTATGGGACCTGTTATTGGAGTTGCTGTGCAGAGTACGTTGATTTTCATTATCAGACTGACTTCTGAGTGCCTTCATAGCATATGGTTTTATGAAAGCATACAGTGAAACCAATTAAGTTTCCTTCTTACCAGTCATGAAGATTCACCAAATAAATCGATCAATTTCAGGTGTTTTGCAATGTCTTCGGATTTCTTGGCTCTAGATGTGAAGAAGAATGTGTGAAACACAACAACATAACCCAAAAGTGGTGGGAAAGCAAAAGATCAACCTTTAACGTTATGAGACCTGTCACCTCATCGGGATATACCCACCAGCTACAATAATTCATGCATGAGTAGCTTCTTTTAATTACATCAATAAGTCACTTTCCAAAGTAGTCTCTTATAAAGTCTTAAAAAGGCAGTGCTGCACTGTTAACAGGCTTGCACTGATGACTATGATAAATTCTACTCTGTAGGACACCATTACTTGAGTAAATTTGAAGTTGTAGAACATTGACCACACCACAGTGGTAACAGTAAACATATGAGATGGGGTACTTTTCAGTAATGAGTAGACATTTGAATTTCGACCTCATTCGCTTAACAAGAACTTTTCATAGCAGCGTTAGTAAACATTCGAAAGCTTAAATCTCTGGCTACAGCCATATGTAGCCGGTTGATGAGAAAGTCTTCATTATAATGCTGTAAATTTTGAACAAATTTACGACTACGCGTTTTTTTTTTGTTATCGCGCATATAATTCGCTGGACAAAACTCCTTCACTAGGGTGCCAGCATACATTTGCTACCACAAATCTCGAAAAACTCAAAAATATGCATGCTTTTTGGAGAAGTCTTTTGTAGAGCTGTAGGAGTAAAAAAAGATTTGTCTTTTGAACCTCACCGCAAGAGCTCTTTCTTTAGACTACTAGTAATCATTCGATACCGCAAGTTCCAATGATTAGAACGTTGTGCTTATTTCCTGCGAATCACGTTTAGCAGGGAAAGTCGATCAAGTTACAATTTTGGTTATGTTGTTTACAGCCTATTCGACAAGACGAAGACCGTAGCAGGAGGCGGGCAGGGGCAGGGAGGTCGATAGCGTCTGAAATATGGTTTCTCAGTATAATTCCTAATTTCCTTCTTTAAGCCAAACACAAAGTGTTACATTGAACTTCATTTGACAGCTGACTTTTCGGCATTTCGCCTTCTTCGGAGCCTGTAAAGGTCAAATTGTCCGCAATCCAATCAGTCAAACAGCTCCATTACTCTTTTAGAAAAGATCGCCAGACCTAGTTTTCAATCGCACCAAGCACAAAATTAACTCCTAACATACTCACCGCTTTTTATTGCGTTCCACCGAATGATTCGAATGTAGTTACCGGAGGTAAATCACTTAGGCTCGCAATACACCCCATTCATCAAAACAGCAGTCTTTTATATTGAGTCATTTCACGAGTGATAACGAGGCATTCCTCTCTGCGGTTTCTATTTGGATTTGTGGTGTTAATTCAAAGTGCTTCCAAAATTTTTTGCGCTCATGTTTTTAGTTCCTGAGCAAGGATGGTGACTTCGATCTTAAAATCAACTCCGTCGTATTTCTGTGCTCTATGCCTCCCTAGCGGAGTGTTCCGTCTATCAAGACGTTTGTCAGCTAGGTGTTCTTTTATGCGGGCATAGAGCGGCCTAGCCCGTTTCGCCAATATATTTTCGCGACACGCTTTGCAAGAGATTAGGTGGACTGTATCCACGCCCATGCAATCACCGTTTCTGCCGTTAGGACATATTTTACAATCTTTCATTGTACAGAGACGGTCATATAAGATGGTTGCGAACTAACTGGCGTCTTAGAGTACTTGGTGTTATTTCAATAATAGCCACCAATTGCTCTAAACCAGCTCTTTTCAAGCAGTGTTTCATATCCTTACTAATCTCACTTGAAAAAAACGAGAAGATGAACAGGACTCTCCTTTCATTCGAGTTTTCGTTCGGAGGCGTACTATTTCCTCTAAACCTAAGCCGAGGAGCTACAAATTCGTATCCATCAGAAGTGGCTATTTCGCAAACCAGTTTCACGAATTCTACTCTTGCTATTCCCCTGTACATATATTGGCTGCTAATCGAAACATGTTTTTTACTAACGCTTTTTTTCGTATGTGAGTGCTGAGAAGGGAGATAATGAACCAGAATATTCTTATTACTCTGCTTTCAGTGCCACTTTGTTATGTAGCCGCTCTCGGTTAAGTTTATTTGCACGTTCAAAAAAGGAAGCCAATCATTTTTTGATATCTCACGGGTGAATTTTATATACTCTGACTGTTCATTCAGCAATCTAAAGTAATTATCTAGCTCCTCTTGAGTGGAACAGATAACCAAACAATTATCTATAAACCTACAGTAGAGTAATGGCCAGAGATCCATCACTAGAGCTCCCACTTTCGACATAAAGGCAATCACCAGGCTTAGTACCAGCCGCTGTCCCATTGTCAGCCCTCTCATTTGAGCATAATATTTCCCGGACCATCTAATGATTGAGCAGTTCAGGCACTCTTTCAATAGGATCATGAACTGCTCAATCGACAAGCCATACATGTTTGCAACTTACTAGTGTTGTACGGAAGCTGAGTTACTTTACGGAGAAAGTTATATGATCGTTGGAGTAGATCGCATAACATGGTTTTGAGAAGGCATACGGATACCGCTAATGAAGAGCAGCGAGTCACAATAGGGCTAATAATGCACCCACGAAATTCAAGGGTTACTGTGCTAGGAGGCATAACTCTCCCTGATGGTGCGCGCATTGTTCATCAACATTGTTGCTGAGAGTTACATAATCCCAACTGACAGAGCACATCTGAGTGTACGTCGCGCAATGGCTAGAGGTGCTCTGCGTCACACACGACGTCAGTGGTATAGCTCACCAAATCATCCATCCTCTGGGGTCGGTATGTTGGTAGCAGACAGGTCTCAGACTTGTCTAGGATTATAGGCAGCATCGACTCGGTTCAACGGCAGGCCACCGTGGGCATTGTGAAGGTCAGATATGTATTTAACACCTCAAACGAAGCTAGAAATTGAAATTGTGTGCATGGTGCATCTTTCAGGGATTGATCAACGCCGTGAGCTTTATCCTTTATAAAACGTTTGCTTCTCTTCTTTGTTCTGTCTTTGCTGCCGCAATGCTTGAGAATTGCCGATTTTGATGCTATACTTGGTTCGTAAAAGAGCCTCCTACTACGATCCACCAGCGAGAAAAGATACCGTTTTGCGCTGTTGTGACTTCATAGCGGATTAGTTTGTATTACAAAGTCGAACTGTGATTCTAAGTTGGCCTTATTTCCATAAAAAAATTTTTTTGTTGATGGAGACACTTACCTAAACATACTTTCTTTTGGAAAGAACGCTCATTTTTGCATGACGCATCCCGAAGAGATTGATCAACGCTGAGAGCATTATCCTTTATCCTTTGTCGCTCTACAGTTCATGTCGATGTATATTGACTGTGTGTAAAGTCACTGCTCCTTACAATGTGTTGCTCCTCTCAATAATCTAGATAATTGGGGTTCGCGAAATCTAACCACAAGGGTCACATCTATTGCATCGTCATGAACTGCTAATATTGCGTTACATCTCGTAGCTGTTGCTTCTTCAACGGCAACTATGTCGTATTTGTACTTGCTATAGGCTATTACTTACGGCGATGAATATTGTTCGTTGGTCTCAGGATCGACACTGCTCGTCATCAAATAATCAAATAGAGACCCTCGTGGCGGGAGTAATAAATAAAATTGAGTGACTCATCCGGCACACAGCACTCACTAACTCGCAATAGGTACCAAAGCCTAACTTCTCTTGCGCAGTCGCCAAGAAAGGTAAACTAATCAAACACTCTCCATTGAAAAACCAGTATAAACAGTTGTCTACTCATCTAGAAGACAGTGGAAAAGGGCGCACATATATAAAAACATACGCAGTGAGATAAAGACATATATACACACATACACAGATCGATGCAAGCATATACACATAAACACACTGCATTAAATAGGAAACAGTTTCAAAAGTGTAGTTCATGTGAGTACCAGTCCTGGTGATCTCACTCGGTTGATCTGCACTTGAGCAACTTAGTAGAGCACGTATTGAAAGCGTTATCTTGTAAGTTATTTTGTGATGGCCGGTGTGATTGGAATCTGGATTTGGTAATCTCTTTCTAATGAAGTAATAGAAATGTTTGCCGATTGGATGTGAACAGCTTGATCTTCCCACTCTCTACGGAAGAGAACCGCAGAAACGCCAGCTGTTTGAATAAATTCTGCCATAAAAATCTTGTGTCTGACTCAAAAAGAGAGGCAAGGAACTATTTGATAGAACATCCACAGCAGCATTCCGTATCAACAATTATTGTGTTGATTTACTAACAGTTTTCGCACTTTTTGTGAGTTCCTCATTTGAGAATTCCTGCTCCTCATATCCAGCGATGAACCTTACGCTCAGTGTTGGAGGAATAGCATTCTATGATAGGAAAATATCTGCAGAATTTTAGACATTGACGAGAATGGTACAATATTAAGAAAGAATTAACGGATATTTAGCAAGGGTAAAGCGTTTTGTCTTCATAGTGTCACAACGAACTCCTAATTTGGTCCATTTAACTGTATTC